TCTACTACAGAAGCAGAATATATGGTTGTGATCGAGGCAATCAAAGAAGCCTTGTGGTTGAAGAGTTTATTTAGCGAGTTTAGTCTACATCAAGGTGTTACTGATATTCACTGTGATAGTCAAAGTGCCATACACTTGACTAAAGATCAGATGTATCATGAGAGAACGAAACACATTGATGTGAAGTATCACTTCATTCGGGATATCATTGCTAAGGAAAAAGTCCTTATTCAGAAAATCAATACTAAGGACAATCCGGCCGATATGTTTACAAAACATCTTCCACTTTACAAGCTCAAGCAGTGTTTGGACTTGGTTAGTATTCGTTGTTGGTGATTTAGGCCCATTGGGGCTTATATGGAGAAGGTGGAGCAAGTTTATAATCTCTCGATGTTGGGGACTCACCAAGGTGGAGATTTGTTGAAGCCGCAATTGTTGACCAAAGAATTTTGGTTCGTCCCACATCGGAGGAAGGCTAAGGATGCCTTCCGTTTTGCGCCTATAAATATAGGCCTCGTATGTTGAAGTTACTCGCACCACTCAAGAGAGTTATATGGGCTATTAGTTTCTTGAATCATCTAACCCATTTAGTCAAATATTTTAGGCTCTCTTGTTTTGAGTTTAGTAATATATGCTAAACTCTTTTATAAATGCCTTATTGCTCTAGGAACCACTTTCCTACGGCTTTTGTATTTCTTTTTCATAGTAGAAATATTGCTCCTCTCTCGCCCGTGGACGTAGGTCAATTTGACCGAACCACGTAAATCTTCTGTATCTTTTATTTGCTTTATTATTTGTCTTTATTGGGTTGCCACAACCCTTTTATATGGTCGATTTTACCGCCTAATTATTATATGGCCAGTGTCTACCGCCTAATCATTATATGGTCGGTTATATCGCATATTTTGTTCTAACTTTAATTTGTTTATTCCTGGACCAGTCCTAACATACAATACGATACATATATAATTAATAACTTTATAATTTTTTCCTTCTAAATAGAGATCTTGGGTAGAAGGAATTATATTCAATAATAACATTCCAAAGATGAATCCTATCCTTCAAGTTTACAATAAGTATCTAATTTCAAATGCTATAGTAAGGCTCATTCCAGAAAAGTATCAAACTGCTGAACTGAAGATCCAATGGGTTGTCACGAGTCGAATAGTCATCAAACCAGTCAATGATGATGAAGATATCCTGGCTATGAAATTTGACTATACAAAATTCAGTGATCTTGTCAACTACATGGATGTCAACTATAATTCCAGTCTTTGCATTTATTCATCAGTTATCTACGTTTTCTTTACTAATTTTGTGTCATTCTATAATAGATATACTTGCAGTAGTTATTAAGGCACTGGATGTTAAACATATCAACAAAAATGGAAAGATTCAATTGTCCAAAAATTTGTCATTATTAACGAAGAGTAAGCTTTTTCTTATGGACATCATGTTAATTATATTACAAGTTTTATATTTTTTGGCTTATTTTATAATTCCTTGTTTTCCTATATTAGCGTGCAAACTGTTATGCTATCTCTGTGGGATGGTTTTATCACCAATAAAGGTCATCGAATTGCAGAGAACATACAAAATAACCCTATTCTTGTTTGCCACAGGCTAAAGGTTAATTTTTATAATGGTATGCAACTTTACATTCCTACAGTATATCTTTGTTATGTTTTACGGCTCATTGTTTTTTTTCCTAATACAAATACGTATTCCTTCTTTTCATTTTTTTGTCATAGCTGACCCTTTTTTTTTCAGGTGTCACGCTATCTACCTGATTTGACTCTGCAATTCTTAATGATCCGCCTATATAAGAAGCTGGATACTTAAAGAAATGGTTATTAACTAGCCTTTCATTTTTTTTATCCCTATTGTGAACATAGCCATGGTATGTAATTCTAATTATTAATAAATATAATCGCTTTTTCATAGGGCTTGGAAAAGTGTTCAACTTCTTAGAGACTCTGCAATTCTTATTGATCCGCCTATATAAGAAGCTGGATACTTAAAGAAATGGTTATTAACTAGCCTTTCATTTTTTTTATCCCTATTGTGAACATAGCCATGGTATGCAATTCTAATTATTAATAAATATAATCGCTTTTTCATAGGGCTTGGAAAAGTGTTCAACTTCTTAGAGACTCTGCAATTCTTATTGATCCGCCTATATAAGAAGCTGGATACTTAAAGAAATGGTTATTAACTAGCCTTTCATTTTTTTTATCCCTACTGTGAACATAGCCATGGTATGCAATTCTAATTATTAATAAATATAATCGCTTTTTCATAGGGCTTGGAAAAGTGGTCAACTTCTTAGAGGCCTTGTTACTGACAGAGCTTACATGAAGTACAATCTTGATATGTTTCTAAAGCCAGATCAGAAGATAACTAAAGTTATACTTCTAAGGCTTGCACAAAAGGTACGGTCTCTGTGCATTATAGTATGCATCGGCACCCTCAAATCCTTTTACCAAAGTTTTTTCTTTCGTCTCTTATATTCATAATCTAATTTCAGACTTTGTGGGTCAAAGTATGCTTTTCTTTTGAGCATATTTTCCAAAAATTAAGGTATTTGGGCTGCAAGAAATGCTTCCACTCTATTGCAGCTCCATATGGAGTGGTTTTTACATGCAATTGTTGCAAAGAAAGGCAACCAGCTGAATCAAGGTCTCTCGTTGTATAGTTCATCATCTTAATTTCTGACATTCTTTTTTCCATTTTTCATTCTACCATTTTTTCAAACTGATTCGCAGTGTTTCATTTTATTTCTAGTGCTTAACTTTTGTGTATATATACAGATGCCACTTTGACATCGATCTGATTGATAAAACAAGCACAGTCACTACTTCCATTTTTTGTGAGCTTGCTAAAAATTTGCTTACTTTCACTGGATTAGATGCAATGGAACACTTCAATCAGGTTAATATGTGCCTATATTACATTATATATATATATATATATATCTTTGCTTAGCATATATTTCTATGTTTATAATGCTGATAGTGTGCTTCCTCTATATTATAACTACCAGAATATTGAACTTTTCCTCAGAAAAGGTTCATGCTGAACTGAATGAGAAGATTTTTCTACCGGAATATTGAACTTTTCCTTAGAAATGGTTCATGCTGAACTGAATGAGAAGATTTTTCTAACTCATAGTAGGCCGGTTCAATCCCAGTTGGCTGATGCAAGGCAACGTTACATAGTTATATATTATTGTGAAAGTAATAAGGAACCAGAAGATAAAGAATTTGACACCCAGCAAAGGCCTAATTATTTGTTAAGCTATAATGAAGCCGCAAATGTTGATTCCATAGTTTTCGGTATTCTTATTAATAAAAAAGTGAATGTCATATTGTTTACTCCATTCATCTTCTTTACATATGCTCCTCTCAGATTAAAAATTATTGTTGATCATATTCTGTGTTTGGCACTTGAGTTTTTTGCCAAGTTTGTCTGCTACAAGTTTTTTAAAAACTTTAGCTATAGTAACCTCAAAAAACTTCTCAAAGTTTTTAAATTATATACTTCAAAATATTCAAAAATTTATACACTTTAAAAAATTTTGAAAAAAACTTCTACAATAAGTTACAGTAAAGTTTTAGACAAATACCCAAAAAACTCCTTGCCAAACGGACAGATAATTTAGCTAATCTGTACTGAACTTTTTCTGTTTAACAGGCAGCAGTGCTTCTTCTTCAAGAGTTAAATTGTGCCTTGCTAAAAAAATGGAAGAGTCAGAGGGCGACTGTTCATCTGGATCACAACTTGATAATACCGATCCGCTAAAAGAGCCAAATTATCTTAGAATAGTTTTTCTGTCCCATTAATCCTAGCAGGCTTTTTTTTGTTCATCATTCAAGATGAATGATAATTATTGCTTTATCTTAACCTGGAGATGGCCTATTACATGTTACATCTGTTTTTGGTATTCTACTTATGTTGAAAGTCTACTTAACTACTTCTAATCAGATTTTATCTTTTTATATTTTAGACGATTAATGCATAACTGAGACTTTCAAGCTGCTTCTATAGATTATCCCCGCTTTTACTATGCACAAACATACTACTTTTTTAAACTATTCTGCACTTCTTAGCCTTCAATTAACAATAGTGTTCTCCTCTGTGATTTTTCCAATGTGGTTTACCGTGCAACATGTCATCTACAATTGATAATCATGGGTATAAATGGTCCACGTTTACATTAGTAGTGATAAAACAGTAGTATTTACTTGATCCCTTAATCCTTTAACTTTAACATGTAACGGACTTTTTTATAGACTTTATACCCAAATTTTTTTCGGCAATAAGATAGACCAAGTAAAAAGGTTAAGTTGTTTGTTTCTACACATGTTGGTAGCCTACATTTAAAGAAAGTTATAAAGGGTGAACATTAAATATGATGTGGAATACGCCTTTCTGCAAGGGCTATTGAATTGGAGGTTTGTGCATTCTGATAGTAATAATGGCATTACCGAATCAGTTGTTACTTCTGATCAGTAAAGTTACACAATAGAAAAAAAGGCATAGTTATTATACTTTAATTATATCTTAACTTGGAATATAAATGGATGGAAATTGAAATAATTAACTTATTTGATGATATATTAGACAAAACTAACAAAATTTTCTCCTATTCAAATTAATGTAGTACTCCAGTTTCACAATTTCTAAAAACTGATAGAAAGTTTTTAACACATAATATGAAAGTAGAAAGTTTTTCTTTTTTCATGTTTAAAAATAATGAATTATTTCTTAAAATAATATGAAAGTACATTCCAGATCTAGTATACTTAATTAAACTGTTTAATTTAATACAAAGAAAATAACCTTTCTTTGAGAGTCTAAACAAAAAAAAATAAAACTAAAAACTAGACCAAATTTTTCGTTCAAAATGAAAAAGAAACAATAGTTGAAATTGAAAATTGGTGGAGACATTCTTTAAAATGCAAATTTCAAAATGAAAAAGTACAAGTCAAAGACTTTACTGGGCTAAAGTCTTGTACACTTCTCCTAATTCTCACACTCTCACTCTTTGGCTTTCTCACTATTTCTCTCGATCTCTCTCTCAGTTTCTTTCTCATTGATACTCGAACATTCCTCCTTATTGGGCTACTGATTTTGATATCTCTCCTCAACGCATTTGCTGTAAAAAGGTAAATTTCTCTCTTCTTGCTCAATAATCAGTTTCCCCCAAATTTTATTAACCCAATTTTGTGTTCCTAACATTCAAGTTTTGGGTATATTGCTCTTCTTCTCCATCATTTGTCTAGTTTCCCTTAAGTTTCCTACCCTAGTTATGCTTGCTATAGCATTTTTTGGATAAATTTCTTTAGCATTGTTGGTTTCATTTTTGTAGTGATTTAAAGAAAGAGAAGAGGGAGTGGTGTTGGTGAGGTGGGCTAGATTGTTGTGTATCGACAAGGGGAAAGAGATTGAGAGTTGTGGGAAAGAGTCTTGACCGAGTGAAAATTCTAAAGAAGAGGAACAAACCAGACAAAATTGTTTAGCTGCTCTGCCTCAGTGTTGTTCTTTACCCTTTTTTAACCAATTATTTATGTATCGATTTTATGTCTCAGCACTTTTGCTTTGTTCGTTCCTTGCGTTCTGGTTTGCTTTTTATGTCCTCGAATAGTTCTGATCTTATTTTTACTGTTCTCTTAGTTAAATGTTATATTCCCTTGGCTGCTTTTTGTTGTTTGGTGGGATATGTAATTAACCTTGTCTTAAGTACTCTTTTTCTCTTCCCCCCTCCTTCTTGAGTGATCTGGGTTGTACTTACTTTCTTTTGTTGTTAAGTTGGTTCTGAGGCTTTGTGCATATTGTTTATGCCTTGATTTTATGTATCAACACTCTTGCTTTGTTTGTTCCTTGTTCTTTGTTATGCTTTTATGCCCTTAGATAACTCTAGTCTTTGAGTGTATTCTCTGGTAGGGCTTGTTTTTGCCTATGTCTATTGTTGTTTAGTTGTTTTCTATTATTTTGGACTTAGAGCTTCAGTTGTTTCTTGTTTTGTTTAGCTTTTTGGGTAAGGCCATTAGGTGATGTTTGGCAGTCTGCATTTCTTTCATATTTTGGTGTCTTAATTTGCACAACCAAATTGACCAAGCTTCATTGCCTAAACCTAATGGTTTGTTTGTCAAGACTTCAAACTCTTTCCTAATGTTTTCCTATTGGAAGTGCTCTATCTTTGTGTAAATGTGCACACTCACAAATCGACTCCCATTCCCTTTGTTAACATTTATTCATTTTTTTTCTAGAAACGTAGACAAGTTGGACAGCATCATTGCATCTATACTTTGCCTAAAAAGTTGTATGTTAGCTATGGATATAGTCCTGCAAGTTGAGATACTGTAGGCTTGAGTTTTTTCTGCTAATTTATAAATTCATTCTGGAACACAACCTCTAAATCATGCATGAGTATTAAACTTGGCTAGGAAGTATCAGTTCTCTAGCTCATTTTGCCTTGCTTGATTGGTACTTTGTGAGCAAATCTCATGGCCTAATGGTTTTGTGAATTGAATTTGTTTTTGCTTCTTCCCACCTGAAATACTGAAGTGGATTTCTGCTATGTATCTTAGGAAGTTAGTTGTGATGATTGTCAAATGCCGATTGCATGGAGATGATTGTATTTCTCCTCCTTTTTGGTCTTATTCTGGCAGAGGTATTGATGACTGACATAATTAATTATGGACTTGTTCTTTGCTGCTACATAGTTCAGTTACTGTTACTTTAGACTTTCTTAGTATCCTGCTTCCAAATATCATCCTTTTAACATTAGTTCAACTTTTTGTATGTGGATTCCGTACAATTCAACTTTGGTTACTCAAGTATGGTGAAGTAGTTTATATGTAATTTGAAATGATTTTCAGAGTATTCTACCTAAGGGCATGGAATAGGATATGATGAAGAGGACAAGGTGCTTGTTTTTCTTTCTTGAAAAATAAATGTACCTAATGAATCAATAGCCTATTTGATGCCACTGACTATGAGGTAATCTTTTTCTCAACAAACATATTATTTTTCATAGTTATGTTCATCTTATTATTTACTTGAATTGACTGACAAGTATTTACTTTGTTAGATTTTAAGCAATGCTGAATTCTTAAATCCAGGAGGGAGTGTTAAAGATAGAGTGGTAGCAAAGATTATCGAAGAGGTGACTTAGTTATTTTTCTTAAATTTGCTGCTTTTAAACTTCTTTGATTTGACTTTGAAAGTTATGAACTTTGGATCCTTCATTACAGAAATTTGTGCTCTCTAAGTTTAGGATATGTTGTTTTGAAATATTGAACTGATTTGAGTTTTTGTATGATATGATGGTGTTATTCAGGTAATGTGTTCAAGCTCAAGCTAGGGTAGTGATGAATTTTCTGACCTTGGATGGTAGCGACTGAGTCTTGCAATTTATGGTATTTACTGCTTTAACAAGCATTTACACGGCAATGCCAATGCTTTTTAGTAGCTTACAGTTGTTATTGTGAGTGGAGTAATTTGAGCATATGGATTTTGATAATGTTAATATTGTTTATGCACTACCACTCCATGGAGAGCCACCTGATACTCTATCCTCTAGTGGCTCAGAGAAATGGGTTGTAAAGAATGAGCAATCCATAGACATCTTTCTCACTGTACGCATTGCATCAATTTCTCTTATATAAATGAGGTACACAATGCCTCAGTTTCTTCTATACGAATGGCCAGATCTTTATTGCTCATACTTGATACCTTGTATCATAATCGACATTACTTTGGTTATCATACTTGACATCTTGTATCCTCTGTTGTGCATTAGTTTGGATTGTTTTGGTTTAGTTCAGTTTAGTTTATTTGAATGTTTTAGCTAAGCAAGTGAATCCAAATTGTTTTTCCTTTAGTGTTGTGCTTGTCGCCTTATCAACTAGTTATATTGTTCATAGCAGTACTTATAGCAGTAGTTGTTGCCTTATCAACTTGTTATCTTATTCCTTTAAGGCTGAAGTTTAATAATAGTACTTATTTCTTGAGCAAATTTTGTGCATTAGTTTGTGGCTAATTTTGATTTGATTTTGACTTTTTTTGGGGCAAATTTTGAATGTAGAGTTTTAATTATTAAGGTTCTTATTGGATTGCATATTTTAGCTAAGCAACCTAAGTGTTGTTACTTCTCCTTCAGTGTTTTAATCCTCCCCTTATCTACTTGTTTTACTAGTTTATTACAGATAAATGTTGTTTAAACAAAATTTTGGGAGCTGTCTATAACTAAGACTGAAGGACATTGAAGACAAAGTTGCAATTTGCTCATGCAATGGTTCGTTTAGATATTCTTTGGTTTCTTGAACTTAATTCCTTTTGTAAACTTACTTTATGAATATGTGATATTTGGCCATGTGTTACTTTTGTAGACCTTTGTTGGCTAATGTGCAACTCAATATGACATTTGAGTACTTAATATGCTATATTGGCATGTAGCTTAATGCAGCAACTATTTTTGGTCATCAGTTGTCCAGGCTACTTCTTTTCTATTTATTTTAGATAAGTAATTTACCATGCTAAATTGTGAGTTTATTGAAATGGAATTGACAACGCTAAAGATCACTAATGACAAAAAAGAGTCGTCATAGAACATGAATCAAAAACTCTTCGTGACAATAGATTTTGTCACTAACTCTAAACTTCAATTGTGACAACAAATGTTGTCAGTAAGTAGATCATATAAGTGACAACTTCCGACACTTTTCAGTGACGACTTTGACCAATACATCTCTGACAACACGCTAAGTTGTCAATAAAACTCTTTCATATTGTTGTTACTAATAACAACCATTCACTGACGACTTTTTGTGTTGTCACTGTGTACTTTTACCGACGGGGATATAATGACGATTCAAAAATCGTCAATAAAAGTCATTAGTGACGACATTTCTATGTCCTGTGATGACATGCTGTTGTCACTGATAATCAATTTTCTTATACTGCAAGTGGCATAAATTGGATCTTCCAGATTTATTAGTTCCACTTTCTTCATTGAAAAGCCTTTGTAGTAGGGTTTAAGATGATGGTCATTGACCACAAATTCTTATCTGTCTGCTTGCTCTAAATTCTACTGCACCATACGGAAAAATATTAGTAATAACAAATGGACCAATTCAACAAGAGCGCAACTTACCTGGAAAAAACTTTAATTGAGATTGATAGAAAAGAATTTTTACCCAATTACAAATGATTTTCTAGTAACCTGTTGGTCATGGAAAACTCTAGTCTTCTTCTTATAAATTATTGCATTCTGATAGGCCTCGTTTATTAACTCCTCTAATTCTTATAATTGGAGTTTTCTATTCACTTTGGCCTTATCAAGGTCCATGTTGCACTTTTTGATCACCCAAAATGGCTTATATTCGAGTTCAACTAGCAAATGATATGGCTTTCCAAATACCAACGTATGAGAAGATATTCCAATAAGTATCTTATAGGCGGTCCTATAAATCAATAATGCATCTTCTAATTTTGAACTCCAGTCTTTCTTATCAGGACAAACCATCTTCACTAAGACAGACTTAATTTCTCTATTCGAAATCTCAGTTTAGCCATTCATTTAGGGGTGATATGACACAGACACCTTATGAGTCACACCATATTTTCGAAGAAGAACTGCAATCGTCCTATTGCAAAAGTGTGTTTCTCTATCATTCACCATAACTCTTGGCACCTCAAAATAGACAAAAATGTGAGATCTAATGAAATCTGTAACCACTCTAGAATCATTAGTTCGAGTGGCTTTGGTTTCCACCCACTTCGACAGGTAAACTATAGCCAATAATATATAGAGGAAGCCAAAAGATAAAAGGAAGGGACCCATAAAATTAATATCCCAAACATCAAAAATTTTACAGAAAATCATAGGAGTTTGTGGTATTTGATTTTGATGAGAAATATTTCCTACCCTTTGACACCTATCCATGACGTAGAGAACAAGTAAACATCCTTGAATATGGTGGACTAGTAAAAATCGCTCTCCAATACTTTATGAGTCGTCTTTTGCTGTTCAAAATGGCCTCCACATGTATAAGAGTGACAAAATGTTAAAATTGAATTAAACTCACTCTCACTTACTCATCTTTATAGTACTTGATTTGCGCACTGTTTCCATAGGTAGGGGTCATCCCATAGGATAGTACATGGCATCAATCTTAAATTTATCTTTTTTGGCCTTTAACCAACATGCAGGCAATTGATTAGTGACCAAGTAGTTAACAATATCAGCATACTAAGGAAGAGAGGAATTTGTAGAAAACAGTTATTCATCAGGGAAGATCTCCCTCAATACAATATCATCCGTAGCAATAGACAATCGACTCAAATGGTTTGCAACTAAGTTTTTCGCTCCTTTCTTATCTCGGATTTCCAAATCGAACTCATGTAAAGAAAAATCCATTAGATCAGTCTTGGTTTAGCATCCTTCTTGATCAATAAATACCATAATGCTACATGATCAGAATATACAATTAGTTTAACTCTTAACAAATAAGATCAAAATTTTTCTAAAACCAAAATAATTGCTAAAAGCTTTTTTTCCTATGGTAGTGTAATTGAGTTAAATTCCATTCAAGGTCTTAGATGCATTGTAGATTGCATGTGCAGCCTTTCCAATTCTCTGACTCAATACCGCTTCTACTGCATTGTCACTTGAGTCGCACATGATTTCGAACAAAAGATTCCAGTTCAGAGGTTGTATAACAGATTGGAAAGTCAACAGCTCCTTCAAGTGATCAAACGCATCCTTGCACTCCTTATTAAAATTGAATGCCACATCTTTTTGCATGAGTGTAAACAACGGCGCTCTAATTTTTGAGAAGTTTTTAATGAATTTTCGATAGAAACCTGCATGTTCCAAAAAGGAGCGCACTTTTTGCACACTAACGGGGTATAGTAAGAAAGATATAAGGTCTATTTTTGCCTTATTTACTTCAATGCCCTTAGATGATACTACATGGTCTAAAATTATTCCGTACTCAACCATAAAATGACATTTTTTTCAATTAAACACTAGGTTAGTTTCAATGTATCTTTGAAGAATTAAAGTTAAATTATCAAGGCACTCATCAAAACTATCACCATAGACACTAAAGTCATCCATAAAAATTTCTATTATTTTCTCCACATATTCAAAGAAAATACTTACCATACACCCCTGAAAAGTTATAAGAGCATTGCATAATCCAAAGGACATTCTCCTGTACACGAAGGTACCAAACAAACACGTGAAAGCAGGTACTCATCAAAACTATCACCATAGATACTAAAGTCATCCATAAAAATTTCTATTATTTTCTCCACATATTTAAAGAAAATATTTACCATACACCTCTAAAAAGTTATAAGAGCATTGCATAATCCAAAGGACATTCTCCTGTACACAAAGGTACCAAACTCATCAAAACTATCACCATAGACACTAAAGTCATCCATAAAAATTTCTATTATTTTCTCCACATATTCAAAGAAAATACTTACCATACACCCCTGAAAAGTTATAAGAGCATTGCATAATCCAAAGGACATTCTCCTGTACACGAAGGTACCAAACAAACACGTGAAAGCAGGTACTCATCAAAACTATCACCATAGATACTAAAGTCATCCATAAAAATTTCTATTATTTTCTCCACATATTTAAAGAAAATATTTACCATACACCTCTAAAAAGTTATAAGAGCATTGCATAATCCAAAGGACATTCTCCTGTACACCAAGGTACCAAACAAACACGTGAAAGTTATTTTCTCCTGATCCTCTAGCACTATCACAATTTGAAAATACCCCGAAAAGTCATCTAAAAAATAATAGTAAGCGCGACAAGCTAATCTTTCAACTATTTGATCGATGAAAAGAAGAGGATAGTGGTCCTTTTTGGTGACGGCATTTAGTTTCCGATAATCGATGCATTGGAGCAATACCGTTGGTTTACGAACTGGAACGAGTTCTCTATCATGATTAGTTTCTACTATTACACCGATTTTCTTCGAGACCACTTGCATCAGACTTACCCATTAGCTATCAGAGATTGCGAAAATTATCCCCACATCCAACAACTTGAGTATCTCCTTTTGGACTACTTCCATCATTAAGGGGTTTAATTTTCTTTTCGCCTATCTTACAGGTTTTGCTCCTTCTTCAAGTTTTATCCTATACATGCACAAGGAGGGGCAGATGCCTTTGATATTTGCTATTGTCCACCCTATAGTCTCCTTGTCGTCCCTAAGGATTCGAATAAACTTGTTCTCCTGACCGGCTTCTAATTTGGCAGAAATTATAATTGGGAGATTCTCTTTATCACCTAGGTATTTGTACTTCAAATGGTCCGGACAAATATTTCAATTCCACTTTAGGTGCCTGCACTATAGAAAATAATAACTTTTGATGAGAATCGAGCATAAAAGGAGTGCAAGATCATACCTCATTGTAGTGGATGCCATCGACTAAAACGCTCCAAATATGCACCTCAACTTCTCATTGAATTCCACATCATAAGCCATCCCCAACTCAAGATATTTGGTGAGAGTGACTTCTATCTCATTCTACTATTAATCTCAAAAACTTTCTGTACCACAGGGTCAATCACACTCATGGAAAAAATAATATGAGAATTAGATAGGTATTTCATAGCATCAAATATATTAAAATAAACCACTTCCCCTATCAAATTTCATTGTAAAAGTACCCATTTTACATCAATTTTAGTTTCAACTATGTTTAAAAAGGGTCTCCCTAGTACAACAAGTAATGGATTTGGTAAACAATCAGCATTAGTGTCTAGAATAAAAAAAGTCAGTAGGAAACACTAATTCATTAATTTGTATCAAAACATTTTCAACTAGTCCATCGGAGTATGTATTATTCCTATCAGTTAACTGAATTATAATACTTGTTTCCTTTAGTGGTCCTAAATTCAAGAAGGCATATATACTTTTTGGCATTACATTAATGGAAACTTCTAAATCTAGTATGGCCTTTCTGATTTCAGTGTTTCCTATTTGACAGGGGATAGAGAACATACATGCGTCTCCACACTTGGGTGAAAGTTTCCTTTGTAGCACTGTTGAAACATTCTTCCCCATCACAACTCTCTCATCACCTCTTAACTTTCTTCAATTGACGCATAAATCCTTTAAAAAATTTGTATACTTGGGCACTAGCTCAATTGCGTCCAACAGAGAGATGTTTATATCCACTTTTTGGAATACCTCTAGGACTTCCTTCTATTTGTTTTGCCTTTTTGGCTTCTCCAATCTACTAGGAAAAGGTAGTGGGTTAGTATTAACTTTAATTGAAAAGTTCGAAATTACCTTAGGAGTTGCCTTGCTTATTCTTTCTTTTTCCAACTTCTTCTCAATATCTTTTGGAACTATAGGTTTTGGCCCTTCAATTTCCATTCCACTTCTGAAAGTCATGGTGCTAACGTTCTTTGGATTCACCTTAGGCTGAGAAGGAAGTCTTC